GGTGACAGCTTTCTTCAAGAATCTACCACCACTATTGTGTTACGGGGTTTGAGTTGTTTCCCTGAGGTAGTGGCAACCTGCCAGGCGCTTGCTTTTGTGCAATGGATGATACTTTTGACTAGGGGGATGGCTGATGTCTAGGTGGTCTAGCAGTTATAAACCTTGATGACCCAGTCCTTTCAGAGTCATGTTAACATCATACATAAATTAAAATACAAAACAAAAACATGGGATCTCCCATTAATAATAATAGCACAACTGCAAAATCAGTGAGTAGTTGTGCTCTCTGTGAACGTTTGTTGAGTATTAAGAACAGGAACCTTAGCCTGGTGTGGCAAATGCCTTTAATTCCAGCACTGTCGAGGCAGCCAGGGCTACACAAACCCTGTGTTGTAAAAAATTAAGGGAACAGAAGTGCAAAAGGTTACGTTTTGCAAAGCCCGACAACTTCAGAAGAAAGCATCTGCCTCAGAGACTACCTGCTTCAGCTTTGAACATCAAATTCAAAATAAGCAAATAAAATAGCGGTTTCCCTACTCGCTGAAAGGAGGGATTTACAGAATACCAGACAGAACAGTTTCTTCCCCCACTGACCAAACATGCCTGTTAGAAAGGAAAAAGTTTGCTAGAGAATGCAAAATGGCGACCTCGCGTGATGTCATACCTGTCTCCGTGACATATCGGCGTCCTATTAAGGGCGGAAGCAGGCTAAAGCGGCCTCGCTGTGGGCGATCGTGACTAGCCATGCAAAAAGGTTCAATGTCGGGCGGATGTGTCTGGGGCTATATTATAGTAAGGGCGGAAGTTCTTTTAAGTGCGGAAAGGATCTAATCCAAGAATGGCTCCAGCGCCTGTCTGGTTTCAGTCACTTCCGGGGCGGATCGGAAGTTGCTTTGTTTTGCTTCAAGATGGCTGCTGGGATGTATTTGGAACATTATCTGGACAGTAAGAGCCGGCTGAAGAAGGGGGTCGTGGGTCATAGGGTGGTGTGGAGGGTCCGGGTTGGCAGAATCTATGGCTCTGAGGTCCTGGTGGCCTGAGGCCCACAGTTGGGAAAGGGCTCCGTGGGAGGATTTAGTCGAGGGTGTAGGAGGAGGGGGCGGGGCAGTGGCAATACAGGCCTGGCTCATGTAGACCAGGGAAGAAGGGGCCGCCCGGTGGGGTCAGGGTTGTGTTGTGAAGGGTTACGGGGAGCGGGGAAGGTATTTCCTGACTCTCTCCTTTAGGGTCCCTGGCCTCTGGGTGTATTTTTCTCTCCTAAATTGCACAGGGTCGTTATCACTGCCATTTGGAGTAGCTGCAAATATTTGATCTAGTCTCCTTTAGTCATTTATGTCCCCAGAGTGGCTAGGTGGATGGAGTGGGACGACCACTTGAGTTGTTAAACTGGAACGCTTTACTTCGTGAGCAAAATCCATATAATTCTCATATAATGAAGTGTGTGTGTGTGTGTGTGTGTGTGTGTGTGTTGAGAGACTGGGAAGTGAGAAATAGTCTGGAAGTAGATTAAACGCCAAACTAAGATGTTTGCGTCTTAATATAGAGTATTGATTTTATTAAAGGAAAAGTAAATGGTCAGTTTATGATAGCAGTCCAATTCAGAGATGCAAACCTGATCTTAGAGAATGACAGAAATTTTTAGATATTAAATGTGACAAGATTGATTGGATGATGTCGTGATTAAGAGAGAAGGAAAAAAATCAAGGTGAATTATTGGAAAAGAAGATAAACTGTAGTGACGGCAGTGTAGGAGATTCAGGGTCATAGCAATATATTTATTTTTGCCTTAGACATAGGCATAAAGTCTGTGACAGTGAGATTCTTTAGGGAAAAGGAAGTGAGGAAGTAAGGTGGAGAAAATCTCAAGAAAACAGCATTTAAAGGATAAGACATCAGTGTTGAAGTTACCAGAAGATCTATAATTTAGTGTTTGCAATACTAGGAGGAAGTAAGTCACTTGATCCAGAATGTAGTACCAACTGCTTCAGACTTTTCTTTAGAGGAAGACAAAAGATGGATCATTTGATTTTGGTAATGTGTTGGTGACTTAAAGTAATCATAGTAACTGGTGCCGCAGACTTGAGAAGTTCAAACAATAGAAGCAACTTTTTGGTTTTTTTGTTTTTAAGACAGTGTCTAATGTAGCCCAGGTTGACCTCGAGTTTGATACACAGCTGAGGGTGACCTTGAACTCTGGGTCCTCTCTCCACCTCCCCGGTGCTAAGATTGTAAACTTGTGACACCGTGCCTGGTGTGGTAGAAACATTTTTAAAGTTTGAGCTGGCTTCATGGAAACACTTTAAAAGTTTGGGTGGGTGTGGTGCACATCCCTTTATTTCCAGAATTTAGGAAGATCTCTGAATTTGAGACCTGCTGATCTATATAGTGAGATCTAGGTCAGCCAGGGCTACATAATGAGACCCCGTCTCAAAAAGAAAAAAAAAGGTGGCAGTAGATCACTTGCCTGGCAGGTGCGAGCTCCTGGATCTGAGATTCACTCTCCATCACCAAAGGGGGGAAATTAAATTGTAGGAAGAAATTTTGCTTCTATGGGGAGGCTTAGCTAATAATGCATTTTATTCAAGTATTCACTGGGCGCTTTCTGTATACATGGAAATTCTAAACATGAGGAAAATTTAAAATTGATACAGACATGTATCTGTCCTGGAAGGTTAGGGAGACAGACGTGGAGTAACTATGTTAATTATTTAGTTATGGTTGGATAACTACTAAAAGCATTAGCTAGACAACCTTGACAGCCTATCAGATTCTGGGAAAGTCAGGTTCTGGGCTGGACTTTATCGAGTAGGCGAGTGGGTAAGGTGGGCGTGGGAGGAGGAAGACAGAGCTCTTGGGAAGCTGCTGGTGAGTGTGAGGCGCTCACCAGGCCAGAGCAGAGCAGAGAGATGGCATGGCTGAGGGAGATGAGCAGGGTGGGACGTGCAGAACGCAAGCATACGGAGTCACTGGAAGCTGGCAGCCTGCGTGATGAGTCCGAAAGGAACTAGAGAGGGACTTTGAAGTGGAGAGCGAAGATGGTGGCGCAAACTGAAACCAGTGGGAAAACTGGTTTTTAGAGTGTCACCAAAGAGGAAGGGGATGGGATGGTGACACAGATAGGTGAGGCTTCTCTTTTGAGAAAATACAAATGAATCTTTCACAGATAAATCCATCATTTCAGGGCTACCTCACTACATGTTGGAGTGCCTACCTACCATGCAGGAGACCCTAGTTCTGATCCCCACCACTGCATAAACCTGGCATATAGACACAGGACTATTAGGTCTCAACACATGGGAGGTAGATAGACAAGAATCAGAAATTCATTTTTGCTCATCCTTTGCTACGTAACAAGTTTGAGGCCAAGACCCTGTCACCAAAAGAAAAAAGGAAAAAAATCCACTTTCAAATGAGGGGAAACTGAACTGTACTTCATTTTTTTAATGTTGAGTGACACATTTTTAGAAAATGATTTTAAATTAATTTTTAATTATGCATCTGTGTGGATGGTGTCTGTGTGTTTATGCATGAGTGCGAGTCCTCTTGCAACCCAGAAGCACTGTATTCCCACCAGCCCTGGAGTTTAGGCTCTTGTAAGCCACTCAGCATGGGAAGTGCAAGCCAAACTCTGGTCCTCTGGAAGAACAGCCAGTGCTCTTATCCACTGAGCATCCCTCCAGCCCTGGGCTTTACTTTTGTCTGTTTGTTTGTTTGTTTGTTCTACTTTGTTTTTCCTTTTAAACAGCATCTTAAGCCAGGCATGGTGGCGCACGCCTTTAATCCCAGCACTCGGGAGGCAGAGGTAGGTGGATCTCTGTGAGTTTGAGGCCAGCCTGGGCTACAGAGTGAGTTCCAGGACAGCCAGGGCTGTCTCAAACAAAACAAAACAAGAGCTTATGTAAGCCAGGCCGGCTTCAGATTCCCTGTGTGCCTGAGGCTGACTTGAGCTCCTCATTCTTCTGCCTCCTGCTGCTTCCAGCTTGAACTTCATTTTAAAAGGAGCTCTAGGGCCAAGGATGTAGCTCAGTGGTAGAGCCACTTGCCAAGACCTGTGTGTAATCCAGTAACTCTATTTCCCTGTCTTCCCAGGTATTGAAAACCTCCCGTTTGAATTACAGAGAAACTTTCAGCTCATGAGGGATCTAGACCAAAGGACAGAGGGTACGTACAGAATAACAGGCTCTTGTTGATCATCATTTATTTTCCTACTTTTCTGTTATCATACCATCTGGTATAATCTGGAGGACTGTGACTTATATTGTGTGTGTTGGGGGGGGCGTGTATGAGTGTTTTGCCTGTATGTATGTCTGTGCATCATGTGTGTGCCTGATGCACAAAGAGGTCAGAAGACAGTATCGGATATCAGGAACTGGAGTTAAGGATGGTTCTGAGCAACCATGTGGGTGCTGCGATCTGAACCCAGGTCCTCTGCAAGAGCAGCAAGTTCTCTTAATCACTGAGCCATCTTTCCAGCCTGTCTTTCATGGAATCCTTGCAAGAAGATAATGGTGATCCTCATTTCTACTCTTCCACATCAAATGGAGTATTGAGACAATACCTCAAGAAGTTAGACATGCTGAGCTGGCAAGACAGCTCATGGGTAAAGGTGTTTGCTGCCGAGCTGACAACTCGGATTCCATCCCCAGGACCCACACAGTACAAGGAGAGACCCTCTAGGAAGTTGGTCCTCTGACCACCACCTGGAAGTGATTCTACACATTCATCCTCACACGTACAAATCATGCACACAAAATAAATAAGCAAATAAGATTCAGAGCTACTGTGATTTTTGTACCTTCCTCAAAAATTCAAGATACCAACCCTAGACATTGCTGCCATTTTTTTTTAAAGATTTATTTATTTATTATGTATACAGAAGAGGGCACCAGATCTCATTACAGATGGCTGTGAGCCACCATGTGGGTGCTGGGAATTGAACCCGGGTCCTCTGGAAGAGCAGTCGGTGCTCTTAACCTCTGAGCCATCTCTCCAGCCCCATTGCTGCCATTTTGTTTGTTACGTCTGCATGATAACCACAAGTTATACCTTGTTGCGTTGTTGATGCTATCATAAAATACGCAGGGTGTTAGACTGCAGTTCATATTGGTTGACAGGAATTTTGCTGAGAAGCTCTTAAAAAGAAAGAAGGGCCAGGCATGGTAGCACAGCAGATAGAGCTTTGTGAGTTTGTGACCAGCCTGGTCTCCATACTGAATTCCAGTTTCAGGACAGCTAGGACTACACAGTGAGACCCTGTTGTGGGGGGAGGGGAGAAATTTTTTTTTTTAAGGTCATCCTCAGGTACATTCCCAGTTTAAGGTATACCTGAGCTACATGAGACCTGAGAGACCTTTTCTCTAAATAAGTAATTAATAATAAAACTAACCATTAGTAATACAAGCAAGAGAAAGAAAACAGAAGGCATCACTTACCATCAGGAGCTCTATACTGTATTCTTTCATTCATGCATTAGATATTATCTCAGGCCTTGGACATGGAGCAGATTTGGCTACACTGAGGTGTCCATTTGGAGCCTCAGGAAGGCTCCACTGCAATGCTCAGGTTGGTCTGCACCAGTTTTAAGGTTGAGTTGAAGGTGCCCCGATACCTACTGAAGGATATGTAAGTCTCACATTCCATTCTGTGTAGCCATGTTCAAAGAGGTAACAGGCTAGGATATATGAAGCCATGTTTTAAGTTAAGTCTGGCTAAGTTTCTTCATAAAAGTGAATATTACCTAACATCTGCCACTGACAGCTGCCTGCCAGATGGTCAGAATCAGCTGGATTTCTCTGTAATGAAATTCTAACTCTTGAGTCCATGCTCAAAGACCAGCTGGAGATTATGGAAGTGTGTGCTTTTCCCACATCTCCCAAAGGCCTGGGATACAGTGAAGTATGAGCATGGCATGCTCCCAGATGCTCCCATTGTCTGGTGGTCCACTGTGCTGCGGTCTATTGCCTCTTCCCATTGATATTTACATGAGCCCTGACTAATGTCAGGGAGTAGACATCTTCAGGTCAGTGTTCTGGGACATCGCCAGCCCTCTGTCTAGTATTAAGGTGTTTCGAGCAATATCTAAAATGAACAAACAAAAAAAAAAAAACGACAAGAATTGTAAGCAAGTTGCAATTGATGAACAAAGAAAGATGAGCAAGCTGGATATGGTGGCTCACACCTGTAATTTCAACATTCAGGAGGCTGAGGCAGGAGGATTTGCTTCTGTTTTTGGCCAGCCTGGACTACATAGTATGTTCTAGACATCTTGAGCTACAGAAGGAAACTTGGTACTCAAAATCGGTAAGAAAAAAGTAGAATGGACAGTAAGGATGCAGAAGCAGCATTCCTGGAGGAATTAGGACCTAATGTTAACATTTCAGACCCACCACTATGGCGGCTTAGGCAGGAAGATCGTAAGTTCGAGGCCAACCTGGGCACAACCCTATCTCAGAGAGAGAGAGAGACCTGGAGGCCACCGCACCAGTAAGTGACTCAGCCTGGTTTGCAGCAGTCAGGTCTGTTGGGGGATGCGGTTAAGACAAGAAACAAGGTGGCCTTTGGAACCGAACTCATGAGGCAAGCATCAAGCAAGCCCTGCCACGAAGCATCTCGAACTGTCATCAGAAGTGCACCTCATGCTAACATGTACACGGCTAAGAGTCCCACAGTGCCTTCTGGTAAGCTTCAGTTTCAACGCTGGCAGCCATGTTTTCTGCACCTTGAAGGCACTTTCAGACAGTCTCAGCCAGGCCAGTGGTACATGTTTGTAATCTCAGCGCTAGGGAATCAGAGGCAAGAGGATATCCCAAGTTCAAGGCCATCCTGAGCTACATACTGACACTGTCTCAAAACATACCAGAAAAGGCCCAAATAATTTCAGTGTTGCGTTTCCCAAATACAAGGCACAGTACCTGTGAACGTTCAGTACGTTTCAGTTGGAAGGTCTTGATGGCCGATGGAAAAGGCCCAAGGAACAAGAGGAAGAAGTATGTTTCATCTAGCCACCAGGGGCCATTGTGACCCAGGCCTCTGTCTCTGTTGTAGACCTGAAGGCTGAAATTGACAAGTTGGCCACTGAATATATGAGTAGCGCCCGCAGCCTGAGCTCCGAGGAAAAACTGGCCCTTCTCAGACAGATCCAGGAGGCCTATGGCAAATGCAAGGAATTTGGTGACGACAAGGTGCAGCTTGCCATGCAGACCTATGAGATGGTATGGCCCTGTCCGCGGCTTCCCACCTATCTCCCGTCTAATCCTCAGGCTCTGAGGCCCTCCTTCGGCTGTGTTGGGATCTGTCTGGGGTCTGGAAGAGTCATCGTCTGCCTTAGCTGTTTCCTTCCCTGGAAACAGCCTTGTACCTCCTCCCCACAGGTGGACAAACACATCCGGCGGCTGGACACAGACCTGGCCCGCTTCGAGGCTGATCTGAAGGAGAAGCAGATCGAGTCGAGTGACTATGACAGCTCTTCCAGCAAAGGCAAAAAGAGTGAGGAGGGGTGGGCCACTCCAGCTCTGAGGGACCAGTGTCACCTGGGACCGGAGCAAAGAGGACTTAACCATCCTTTTGTCTTTGCCTTCCGGCTTACCCTTTCTTCCTAGAAGGCCGGACTCAAAAGGAGAAAAAAGCTGCCCGTGCCCGTTCCAAAGGAAAAAACTCAGATGAAGAAGCCCCCAAGGCTGCCCAGAAGAAGTTAAAACTTGTGCGCACGTGAGTACATCAAAGGACGCCCACCTCCCGGCAGCCCTGCCCCTTGCCACTCCCCTGTCTCTGTGCCAGTAACTCTGTCACTTTGGTGTCTGCTGGACGGAGAAGCAGCCGAATGTCATTTGCCTCACCACAATCTCCTGCCACCTCCGAGCTCAGGTGGTAGCTTCCCTTCCTGCAGGTGACATTTGTCTTCCTCTTGGCATGCAGAAGTCCTGAGTATGGGATGCCCTCAGTGACCTTTGGCAGTGTCCATCCCTCTGATGTGTTGGATATGCCTGTGGATCCCAACGAACCCACATATTGCCTTTGTCACCAGGTCTCCTATGGAGAGATGATTGGCTGTGACAACCCAGATGTGAGACCCCTTTGCCTCAGGGTTGGGGGAGGAGCTCTGAGGGGCATGGGGGCGTGACTAAAAGGAGCAGGCACCCTACTCAGTGGGAGAGAGGGAGTGCAGGGTAGGATGGTGGTTGGCCTGGTTGCCCGGGGCCTTGCAGGAAGTAGGGCTGGAGTAGAGGGCTCCTCTCGGGAGTCTGCAGCTGGCTCCTCTCCCCTCCAGCGCAGGCCCCTGACTGCTGTGTTCCATCTTCCTCTCCAGTGTTCCATCGAGTGGTTCCACTTCGCCTGTGTGGGGCTGACAACCAAGCCTCGGGGAAAATGGTAAGCGGTGGCTGTGGCGGGAGCTGGTCGGGCTGTCCCGAGGCTGAGCGGGAGAGCACAGACTTCACTTCATACTTTTGTTTGCCCTGCTCTTTGCCGGTTTTTAGGTTTTGCCCACGCTGCTCCCAAGAACGAAAGAAGAAATAGCTTTCCTTGGATCTCATGCCAGATTTCTTCCGAATCCCCCTGCCCTGGGCTAGTGACAGAGAGGAACGCCTCTGCCGGGGCACTGGGGGTCCGGGGAGACGTCGACAGCGCAGTCCTGTCCTTCCTTCTCCCTTCCCCCACTCCTGGTGCTGAGGCTGCATCCGAACCCCGGTAGGGAGGGTGCCACAGCCACTGACGGTATGTGCTCCGTTCCACTCTCCTTCGAGGGAAGTAGTCCCGCTCACCGTCCTTCTGCCTCCGTGGTGAGGTTGGTGCTGTCTTCAGAGGGAGGGTCCTCTTCACCCCCTTGCTTTGTGTTTAAGGACTGGGGCAGTGGGGTGGACACCTCTCTCAGGCTCCTCCATCTCCCCTTCCCCTACTGGGGCTAGGTAGGATAAACCTCTTCATTCTTTTTTCCATGGTGAGGGAACTTGTAGATCACTTGGGCTCTGGCCTAGCTTCTTCTGTGTCCCGGGGATTTATCCTGACTTTGAACGGGAGAGGGTAAGGTGGAGCACAGATAACTCACATGTAAAAGGAACTGGGGTAGGTAAATAAAAGCGATCCATGCTAGCCTGCTGTGTTTATTGTAGAGACTGTTTCCGTACATGTGATAAGCATTCCTTTTGCATCCTCTGGATTGGATGAGAGGCAGGAGGATGGCTTGCCAGAAGTAGGACAAGATGTGAAACCATAACGATACTTGTCCTGTGGTGTCCACAACTTTTCCACCTGGAGGGGTGCCTTGCATCGGGGGACTCAGAACTTTGTAATTATGCATCTGCTCTCGGTGAAACACTTTTCACTTAATTCCAATAAATCATGTATTTGCGTTATATGTGTGTGCTGTGATAGTGTTAGCTTGATTTCTTTTAAAAACAAAAGATATAAAATAAGTATTTGCTTCCCATCCCCCAATGAATTAACTGTATTGGTCACTTTTCTCTTGGAAACAGTAAGTCCCTTGGACCACTGAACCATTCTTACACGTGTGTTCACCGCGGTCGATCCTGCTTTCATTTTAACTTCGGGCCTCTTCCCCTACCCCCCCCACCCCACCCCACAGAGCTTCTCTGTGTAAGAGCCTAGGCTGGCCTCACATTCACAGGGATCCACCTACCTCCGCTTCCCAAGTGCTGGGACTAAAGGCGTGCACCACCTCCGCCAGGCTTTGGGTCTGTTTCTTACCTAGAGGTGTCCTCCATAGCTCCTGGCCAGGTCGTCCCTGCCTTTTTTTCAGACTTTCTTGCTCGGCTGCGCAGAGTGCTGCCTAGACTCGGCAGCTAGGTCTCCATACACCCGGGCACCTTGCTTCCTCAGGTCCACCCTCTCCATCTGTAGAAGCGGTGTTAATACACACCCTCTGGGTTACCGCCAAGAGGCTGGAAGTAGTACGCAGGGCTGAGGTTTTAGCTCTGTGGTGGGGGAAGCGAGGTTCTCGGTTCAATTCCCGGCAGCGCACAAACGAATTCAAAGCAAGTGGTACCGAGCAACAGAGGGACTGGGAGGGCTGTGCAGCCTGTGACTTCTCCGTCCATCCGTCCGTCCGAGGCCCGCAACTGGTGCAGCTCACAGGAGTTCACCTCGTGCCTGGCCCCGCCCTCACCTTTGTGACGTAGTAGCCGCGCCTCCTGCCTCCGCGTTAGCCGCCCGAGACCCACAGCTCTCCGAGGCTTGGCCCGTTGGAGGTTGCTTTGGTGTGAAAACACGGGTGGATCTTCCCGGGCCATGATGAAACTAGCTGCTGGCTTCCTTCTGCTGCTTCTGGAAGGTGAGAGGCGAGGGTTGGCCGACGGAGGCTGCCCTGGTCTGAAAACGCGGGTGGATCTTCCCTGGGGATGCCTTATGCTCCCAAAGGACTTGAGGCCCCTGCCTCCTCAGAGCCCCTTTTCGTGGGTTCTGAGACGGCTGTCTCCATGTGGTAGAACTGGACCACTTCCTGGCTTGGGAAAGGTTGGACTTTTATCTCTTGTCCCTAGAAATCTCTAGGGACGCTCTAGTTATCAGGCACCACCCAAGACACCCCCACTCCCCCCGACACCCACACACATACACGTAACATGCCAGTTCTTAATCCACGGGGCATCTACTTCTAGTCTGGGTCCGGCCACTGGACACGGAGCATGTTTTGGGGAAGGTCCATTCTCGTCTATCCCCGTTCCCTGCAGTGCGGCTCCTGCCTGTAACACCTCTTTCAGCTGAGGATTCATCTTCGGCCTCCACCCCAGGCAGTCCCCTCTCGTCCACTGAATATGAACGTTTCTTCGCCCTGCTGACCCCAACCTGGAAGGCAGAGACCACCTGCCGCCTCCGTTCCTCTCACGGCTGCCGGAACCCCACTCTCGTCCAGTTGGACCAATATGAAAACCACGGATTGGTACCAGATGGTGAGGGCCAGACCGGTGGGGAAACCTAGACACCCAGAGGTCCACCAGGCGCAGGGCAAAAGCTTCGTGCTCATAGAGGGGCCGGGACACAGCGGGCAGCTCACCCCAGAACCTGCTCTCCACTCGTGGAGACCTCCACCCAGCCCAGGCTCCCCGGTAACCACTCTCCGTGGGTGCTGTCCTCCCGTAGGTGCCGTCTGCTCTGACCTCCCGTATGCTTCCTGGTTTGAGTCCTTCTGTCAGTTTGCTCAGTACCGTTGCTCCAACCACGTCTACTACGCCAAGGTGAGGAAGGCGGGATCTGTTGGCCCAGAACCAAGGTAGAGTCTGTGGGAGTGGGAAGTTGAGGAAGGTCTCCAGGAGGGGCATCATTTAGTTCGTCTCCCTGTCAGTTTGCCAAAGTGAGTACGGCCTCACTTCAGGTGCCCACATGCGCTGAACAACCCTTGTTCCTGTGAGTAAAGGAGAGAAGAGATTCGGGGAAGAGGCAGAGCTATGCCCTTCCTAACGTTGCTCCAAAGGGTCCGTGTTTTTATTTAAGTCAGCTGGGAAAGAGTGAAGGCAGGCATGTGGCCTACACAAATGCCCTCTCAGGACTACAGGCTCCCTGGAGGAACTGTGTTCCTTCATCAGTCCTGCCCAGGAGCTGGGAAAGCTGTGATTTGCCGCGCAGGGACTGAGGATGACTAGGCAGGCAGCCCTTGGGAAAAAGCGTTCCCATTCTCCTCCTTTTTTTGCAGAGGGTCCGATGCTCCCAGCCGGTCTCCATCCTCTCACCCAACACTCTCAAGGAGATAGACTCTCCCCCAGAAGTTCCTGCCACCACCATGACATCCCCCATGGCATCCCATGCCACAGGTGAGACCTCCCAGTGTTAGGAAACCACAGTGCCCAGGGCTGGGGTGTCAAACCTGCGTGGTAAGAGTGATGAGTTGGGGAGAAGAGCGAGAAGCTTTTGCTTTGCGTGAAATAAGTCAAGGCTCTCTTGTCTCAGACCTTCTTCCACTGTCACTTAAGGTCTTCCTCTGAATCTGCTTTTCCTAGTTCCGAAGACAGGTCGGCCTCAAACTCAGATCTCCAGTTAGAGCAGGCCTGGAAGAGCTACCGCCCTCTTCTGGCCTCCACAGGCACTGCATGACTGTGATGCACGGGCATATATTCAGGCAAAACACCCATATGCGTGAAATGAAAATAAAAATAAAAACCTTCTAGGCCTTTTGTAAATTAATATTTTCATTTTAGAGAGTATTTAGACTGGGAGCATAGCTCAATGGTAGAATATATGCTCAGTATATATGAGGCTCTGGGTTTGATTCTTAGGATCCCCCTCATTCAAGAAGGAATTAGTTGATAGTTCCTTAGAATACATGGTATTCTCTAGGTGAGATGGATAAAAGTAACATTTGTTCTAGGGAACAAGTACATCTGTAAGGCAAGTAGAAAGGTGACATGTACCACCAACATATTTGTTATATCTTTTAATTTTGATTTTAGTTTGTTGACCATGTACATCAGAGGTCAACACTGAATGTCTTCTTCAGTCACCACATTTATTTGAGACAGGGTTTGACTATGTAGCCCTGGCTGGCCTGGAACTCACTATGTAGACCAGGCTACCCTGGAACTCACAAAGATCTGCCTCAGTCTCCAGAATGCTGAGACTAAAGGTGTGTACCATCGTGTCCAGCTTAGACCATTTGAGTTCTGAGGACTGGTTCTTTCAAGAAACTTGGAGCTGGGACTAGAGAGATGGCCCAGTGGTTAAGAGCCCTGGCTGCTCTTCCAGAGGATCTGGGTTCAATTCCTAGCACCCACATAACAGCTCACAACTGTCTGTAACTCCGGGTGGTAATGGCTCGTGCCTTTAATCCCAATACTTGGGAGGCAGATACAGGCAGATCTCTGAGTTCAAGGCCAGCCTGGACTACAAGCAAGTTCAGAACAACCAGGGCTACACAGAGAAACCCTGTCTTGAAAAACCAAAATAGTAATAATAGTAATAATAATAATAATAATAATAATAATTAATTGGAGCTGACTGGCTAGCCTGTAAACTCTCAGCATCCTTCTGTCCCCACCTTCCCAGCACTCAGAGTATAGGCACATGTTCCCATACCCAGCATTTTTTTTTTTTTTTTAAGATTTATTATGTATATAGTGTGCTGTCTGCATGTTTTGCCTACATGCCAGAAGAGGGCACCAGATCTCACTAGAGATGGTTGTGAGCCACCACGTGGTTTGCTGGGAATTGAACTCAGGACCTCTGGGAAGAGCAGTCCATGCTTTTCACCTCTGAGCCGTCTCTCCAGCCCTCCCATACCCAGCCCTTATATAGACTCTAAGGGCTGAACTCGGGTCTCCATGCTTGCAAGCACTTCCCCGACCACCCTCCAGCCCCAGTTTCTTGATGGAGAAACAAGCAAACATGAAAACTTGTGTCGGTGCTGTTTTTGAGAGAGGGTCTCCAGCCTCGTGTAGCCTCCAGCTCAGTAGGTCGCCGAGGCTGGACCTGACGCAGTCCCGTCTCCACCTCCCAGACTGCAGGCCTGGACCGCCACGGCAGCACGTGCAGATGTGGTCCTCCATGGGCGGGAAGTCTGATCCCTTCTTTTCTCTCTTGGTTCCCCCCCAAACCTCGCTGCAGCCACAGAACGCCAGGCCTTCCAGCCTTGGCCGGAGCGGCTCAACAACAACGTGGAGGAGCTGCTTCAGTCGTCCTTGTCCCTGGGCGGCAAGGAGCAGCAGGGCGGTCACAAGCAAGTGCAGGAGCAGCACAAGCAGGAGCTCGTGCAGGATCACAAGCAGGAGGACGGGCAGGAGCAGGAGGAGCAGGAGGAGGAAGAGGAGGAGGAGGAGACCAAGCAGGAGGAGGGCCAGGGCACAGAGGAGGGCCTGGAGTCAGTGTCCAATCTGCAGTCCTACTCCGAGCCCAAGTTTCAGTCGGAGTCTCTGTCTTCCAACCCTTCCTCCTTTACTCCCCGGGTCCGAGAAGTGGACTCCGCTCCACTGATGATGGAGAACATCCAGGAGCTCATTCGGTCAGCCCAAGAAATGGACGAAATGAATGAACTGTACGATAACTCCTGGAGAAGCCAAAGCACCGGCAGGTACAGGAGATTGTGACCCCCTCATGGGCCCTGCCGTCCCTGCTGCCTTCTTTGGAATTGCGAAGCCCACTTACCAGCTTTGGTCTCCAGACCCACTCAGACCTGCTCAGGCTTCAGGCAGAGCTAGCAATGGCGGGCCCCTCCTGTTCTGTGCCAACCCTTGTTTTAAGCCCCACCCTGGGTTCTGGTCTTATCTCTGGCCTTGATTAGCACTAAAGCCTTCAGAAAGTTACTTCTCCATTTTGTTGTTGTTGTTCTTTATTTATTTTATTTTTACTTAGGTGTATGTGTGTATGTCTGTGTGTGTGTATGCACATGTGTGCAGGTGTCCATGGAGGCCAGAAGAGGGCGCCGGATTCCCTGGGACTACAGTAAATGGGTGGTTGTGAGCTACAAGAGTGGGTGCTGGGGACCAAACTTGGGTCTTCTAGAAGAGCAACGACTGCTCTTAACCACGGAGCCATCTCTCCAGCCACTGTTTCTCCATGTTGGACTTCAGTTCCTCATTTGTAAAAGTAGGCAGTTGGTCCAAGGTCCTCTCAGACTGCAGGATGGAAGTCCTCTGCTAAGCATGCTGAATGCATATGACCAAGACCAACTGCTTAGCGGAGGGGAAGAGTAGATGTGGTTTTTCTACCCCGCCCCCCTCTAGCCCATCCCCACCAGTCTGTACTGTCTTCTTGCAGCCTCCTGCAGCTGCCCCACACGGAGACCATGATGGTGCTATGCTATTCCATTATGGAGAATACCTGCACCATGACTCCCACAGCCAAGGCCTGGAGCTACATGGAGGAGGAGATCCTTGGCTTCGGGGATTCGGTATGTCCACCATGCTATTTAATGGATACATGCCACTGGACATCCCATGGGCCTGGCACTGTGTGAGCCATGGGTGAGGGGGCTGGGCAAGGAAAGCATGAGACATAGTTGAAGAGATTCCTTGGAAGGACATCTCCAGCCACCACAGAGGAAGGTTGAAGACCTAGTCTGGAAGCCAGCCTGGTCTTGAATGCATCCTTAAGTTCTTCAAGTTTTCAGCCCTAAGCCCTCCCTTGAAATCCATTCAGCATCTTCAGTACCTAGCTGCGCCTCAGACTCGGCTCTTTTTCTTTCCAGAAGGTTCATAGAACCTCTTCCTGTTGAGTCTAGTCGTGCAGGCTGTAGTCCCGGCTGCTTAGGGAGCTGAAGCAGAAGAGTCACAGGTTCACTCTGTGGAGTGGGCAGCAGAGTGAACAGAACTTAGTGAGGCCCCGTCTCAAAATAAAAAAGTAAACGGGGCTGAGGATGGAGCTCGGTGGTAGAACACTTGCCTAGCATGCAGAAGACCCTAGGTTCAACCCCCAGTTCCAAAAAACAATGTGTAGCAGAAACCATTTGTATTAGGACTTTCTAAAGAAACAACTGATAGAATGAATACATAGTAAAAGCGGACTTACTAGATTTGCTTACATGATGCAGTCCACATAGTCCAACAGTGGCTGGAGAGGCTGAGAATCTGGTAGTTGCTTAATCTGTGAGGCTGGACATCTCAACAGCCCCAGACTGGCACTGGAGGCCTGAGGATTCCTACAGAGCTGCTGGTCTTCAGTCTACATTGGAAGCCTGAAGAAGCTTGTTCTAAAATCAGTAAAGGAATGCCGCGTCAGCGTGATAACGGACTTGCCAGCAAGCGTGTGGGCAAGCAGGGGAAAAGCAAAGCCGCCTTCTCCCGTCAGACTGCAGGGGGCTGCCCACATTTAGGATCACTCTTCCCCCTTCAAATGATCTGGTCAAGAAAATCCCTCCCAAGAGCCCCAGTGGCTTGTTTCTAGTTGGTTTCAAATCCAGTCAAGTTGACAACCAAGATTCACCATCAGAAATTCACCCCTTGTCAATTGACACCCAATCTCTTCATGTCATGGTCAATTTCCACATGAAAAAAATGACAAAATTATAATTCTGCCTACATGTGATATATAACTACACCACATATGATTAAACACATTATTTAAGAATAGGTGGCAAAATCCCTTGAGGAATGCTTAGTGTTTTAGTGTCCCATAATTTACATATGATAATATATATTTACAGTACTTAAACACTGATATTATCTCAGTGGGTGTTGCATTACATGATAAAGAAATAGAGGAAAGAAAACAAATGTCTGCTTAATATATGAGTATCTATGCACAAACACCTTCTTAACAAAATAGGACAGGAAACGCATCGGTTACAATCCTCATTTCTGTGACTGGTCACATGAACTTAGCTGGTATTTGTAACTACCTTCTTCTACTACTCATTCTGTATTTCCGCCCCTCAGCAAGCACCTCAGAAGGCCTTGGTTCTTTCCCTGGAAGGGTGACCCTTTCCTTTATCCCTGAAGGGTTTGGATCCTGTCATCCTGCCTCGATTGGGTTGTTCTAATTTCCCATTGACCTTAATCACCAGGGCATTAACTTAACACCAAGAGATGCCCTAAAGCAGTGGTTCTCAACCTGTGGATCATGATCCCTTGGGAGGGGGGGGTCGAATATCAAATAACCTGCATATCAGATACTTACATTATGATTCATAACAGTAGCAAAATTGCAGTTATGAAGTAGCAACAAAATGATTTTATGGTTGGGGGTCACCACAACACGAGGAACTGTATTAAAGGGTCACAGCATTAGGAAGGTTGAGAACAAGAGCCCTAAAGCATCTTCTGTACTCCAGACATAATCTTCCTTATCTCCATTGTGAAGAAGGAATCCATTTTCCCCTTGGTAGTCTAGATCAATCACTCCTCCTAAAAATGTATTCCTTTCTTAGTTTGTTGACTTAAAAGTATCACGAGCCCAAAGTGACCAGAGGAAACTCTTAGCTCCTAATGAAATGTAATATTTTTTGTGACTCCTGGTTGGAGTGCTCCCCCTTATGGAACCAAAATTTCTAGGCTAGCAGAGCAGTAAAGTCCAAGGAACAGGAAGAAAAAAATGTTCCTAGGGGGTGACTAGAGGTCATAGTAAGTAGTACCATCCTCATTTCCACCCCTTGATTCCTAGACCATGAATCCTAGCTATAGCAGAAATAATAGTGTATATTGGAGGTTGATTCAAAACATATACAGTCTTCTGGAAAACACTACCCCAGCCCTCTAGGCTACTCCCATCTAATTGGCACTGTAACTGTCTGTTAAAAAGACGTTCCAAGGGCTGGAGCAATGGCTCAGTGGTTAAGAGTACTGGTTGCCCTTCCGAAGGACCCAAGTTTAATTCTAATCACCCATATGGTGATTCACAACTATCTGTAACTCGAGGTGCAGGGGGCTCTGACACCCTCTCTTGGCCTCCAAGCACACCAAGTGGTGAGCAGACATACATGCACACAGAGCATCCATACACATAAAATTGAAAAAGTGAAAAGGCCATTCCACCATTCTATCAAGCCAGCTCTCTTCAGGATGGTAGAAAACCTGGTAAGACCAATGAATTCCATGAGCACAGGCCCCCTGACTACCTCTCTGGCTTAGAAGTGAGTTCCTTGATTGGAAGCAAAGCTGTGTGGAGTACCACGGTGGTGGATAAGGCATTCTGCAAGTCTATGGATGATTTCACCAGAAGAATTATGTGCAAGAAAGGAAAATCCTTAAGTATTCAAGTAAGGAAAACACACTGCGCTTCCCACAAAGCCACCATGGGGACTGGTGCAATAGTCTGTATTAGGGTTCTCTAAATAAACAGAACCAGTAGAATGGATGGATATATTGAGAGGGGATTTATCAGGTTGGCTTATATGATATGGTCTGGGTAGTCCCTCAACGGCTGTTTCAGACTAGAGAGGCCAAGAATCTGGTCATTGTTCAGTCCGTGAGGCTGACATCTCAGGAGTCCCAATCAGGTACTGAAGTGGGGAAGGTTCCTGGAGAGCAGCTGGTCTTCAGTCTACGTGGGAATCCCAAAGAAGTAGGTTCTAAATCAGTAAGAAATGCATCTTTGAGAGCAGCAGGATAGATGAACTTGCCAGCAAAAGTGAAGGTCAGGGGACGAAAAGGAAAACTCCCTTCTCCCATCTCCCTCTCATCTGAGTTCCCATCCTACATTTAGGGTGGCTCTGCCCACTTCAAAGAGTCTCATCAAGGGAGTCCCTCACAGGAGTGCCCAGAGGCTTGCCTTCTAGTTGAGTTTAGACCTAATCAAGTTGACCATCAAGACTACCACCACAGCATTTTAGGGAGTCTGTAAAAAGATTCCGGTTCCAACATTTCTTCCACAATTAGCAAGTCCATGCCCAGAAAGATACGTGCTTTGAAGTGCTCCTTTGCTGTCATTGTTACCGACTGAGGCAAGGTCTCTGCTGCATAGGCTGACTTGAGCTTCTAGGCCCAAGTGATCCTCTTCTCAGCCTTGGTAGCAGTCAATAGCTGGGTGTACAGGTGCACCCTACCACACGCAGTTCCTTGATTCTGAAACAGCACAATTTAGCAAACAACCACTGAGAGCCAACCTACCATTCATTCATCTGTTTCTTCAACAAACACTGATCGGGCACCAACTGTCTGCTAGACACCTGGGACGCTAGCCGCGTGCAGAGCAGATTCCATGCTTGCTCTCTCTCTCAGAAACTAGTTGGGGAGAGAGAGATGGAAAAATAAGGCTGGGGTGTGCTCAGTGGGAGAGTGCTTTCATATCCAAGGAAGGCACTTGGATTTGATACGTGGTACAACCAGTGAAGCTGGGCACTGTGAGAAGATCAGCACCGTGAAGGGGGCAAGGGGACAGTGCCGAGGAAGCGGGTGGTGTCGTGAACAGGCCACTCTGCACGATTGCAATGATCGGAGAATGTTCTTAGGGGAACTGGAGTCTAAACTGAGACCTGAAGGCAGTTAACAAGGCAAAAGGAGGGGCCCGCTGCAGAGTTCTTAGCAGAGGGAGCAGTACGCACAAAGGCTCTGCAGAGACAAGACCTGAACGTTCGTGGGGAGCTCAGAATGAACACGTTTTCTGGCCGGAAGGAGCTTGAGCCTGATGCGGGAGGTTCATGTGGAGTCAGCAGTATTACAAAAGGGTGTGCTGGAGAGACATTTTTTAGAAATATGTGAATTCAAAGGTCATAGACTCAGGGTAGTATGCTTGGATAAGGGAACAGAGTCTGTTCTACTGAGCACATAGTAGCAGAAGACAGAGTCAAAAGACAGAGTGGAAAGTCCGGATGCCACCTGAGGCACTTAATGTTGCAGGAAAGGGAAAACTCATAAAGGGTTGGGGTCAGGGTCATGCTGCTGTCTCCCTTGCTGGCTGCTGCTGGGTAAGCAGGGACTGAAAAGGAGCCCACACCCTGTTTCAGGCTGCGCCTTGAGTGATGGTGGGATTCGCTGAAGGTGTGCTTGGCCCAGATGTTTCTGGTTATGCTGAGGACACTCATTCAGGACCAGCACTCAGCTGGGAGATGGGTAACCCCACTCTGAAAGAGCTTACAGGAACTGGCAGGTTTGGAACTAGGCATTTGATGGAGAATGGGTCTGAGAGATGGAAAGACCTGGATCCATGTCCAGCTTTGAGCAATGTTCTTAACTGCCTGGAGCCTCGCTCTCCTCATGAGTAAGTGCCAATGTTATTTGTTAGTGCTTATGGGCTTAATGACGTCGATTTGATGTTTTTGGTTTTGAGACAGTGCCTCACCATGTAGACCAGGCTGGCCTGGAACTCAGAGATCCACTTGCCAATGCCTCCAAGGTGCTGCGATTAAAGATGCGCCACCATGCCTGACTGGGTTTTGTATTGTTTTGTTTTTAAAGAAAGGATCTCTGGCCGGGCGGTGGTGGCGCACGCCTTTAATCCCAGCACTCGGGAGGCAGAGGCAGGCGGATCTCCGTGAGTT